GTATTTGATATAGCACATTAATGAACAAAAATGACTTCTGAATGGTCTCTTGTTCTTTCTACAAGTTTACAGGAGGTAAATATTAGTATGTTCTAAACATTCTGTGCAAGCATTACTGCACCAGGTAGAAGATCCAAATTTTACAGTGTTAGATATTCATAATAAAGCTTAACATAGGGAAAAAAGATAATGTATCTAAAATATTAATAGTTTGCACATACTGAAATATGGAATTGCGAATAAAATCTAACATTCCAATGATAATTTGCTCCATTACTGAAAAATCACCTCCTAGATGCACATCAATTTAGAATGTCAATTATGAATCACGCTAAAAATGGTCACAGAACTAACGCTAATTAAACCTCCAAAATACCAAAGCAATTTATGGAATAAGATGTATCTCTGGAAATTTTTGTTAATGAATTTATTACTGGAAAACTGCCTTAACTTCGTTTTCTCCTGAACAAGGTAAGAAAGAATTCTGCATACAGTGTGAATGCAAACTTCTTGTCTAACTGGTGCTTTGGTAATGGATTAGAAGGTGGAACAAAATCTGTTCAGTTCTGTTCACTGCAGAGTCTAGATGTCCAAAAACAGACTGCTGAATTACAGAGGTGTAAGAAAATCCAATTAACATTCTTCTCTCAAAGAAATCTATCACTTAAGTTGTATGGGAATGTAGAAACGAGCCATTCCTCAGATACACCACAGCAGGTTTGAAATAGTTGATAGGAGCGAGGAGGAAGCTTCATTTAAAAACTGCTCTAAAGGGAGAGAGTTCTTAGGACAAAGACATCAAATTGCATTAACCACCTTTCCGGCATTCCTCAAACTACAAACTTTGCTGTTGTTCTGACATGTTCTTTTCTGATGGCTTTTTTTTTTTTTTTTTTTTAACCCTCCACTGTGTTACACCTTTCAAATCCATTATATCTGCACTGTTGAAGCAACCTCCACTGCTCGAGTGCCTGCCACTTCATTCTGCTATTAACGCTACATACTCAGCAGTGGAGCTTTTGTCTAAGAAAATAAAAGGACAGGAAACTTAGAGTTCATTTACAAAAATAAGAAGTGTAAAAAATTAGGTATGAATAAAAAGTCTCCCACAAAAGGAGCAGTAAGCTTTCAGAAGTTGAAACTGTTTGTCAAAAAACAATTCCTTATTTGTGAAGCTACACTTGAAAAGGGGAAGGTCCCCATTCAGGAATGGGAAAAGAGGAGAGAGGCATCTAAAAATCTCAGTTCTATCTTTAAACCATCAGTAAGAAGAGCTGCTGAAGGACAATACTGTAGCTACTGTTTCATTAAGTACAATATCTACCTTATAACATTTCACAATATCATTTTGCAAATAAACATGTGTTCCACAAAAAAGAACAGTATTTCCACAAATTCGGGGCTCTTTTGTAAACACTTGAGAACTATTTCAATACACAAGACGTAAATTATTCTCTTCTCACTCTTCTACATCAATGACAGCAGTTAAAAAAAAATACTCCCTAGCAATTATTTAGAAATTATTTAGCAAAAAGACCAATTCAGAAAAAATGTGTATCTGCATAAGCCATTCACAATTGGATACTAACCACTGCACAGCAAATAATATATTAAAAGCACTTAGAAATAGAATAAATATTTTTTATTTAAAGTATATTTGTGCTGCTGAAAAACACTGTTTATTTATAATCACTATCTCCAAGCTCTCCTTTCAGGAGAAAAGACATACGCAAAATAAAAATTATAGGAAAAAGATATCGTATCATTTATTAGAATGCATAAATATGGTCAGGTATAATAGCAGATTTCAACTAAACATCCTTTATGTAGCAAGGTAGAAAACTCTAAATGATGTGGAAATGTAAATAACAGCTTACCTACTATAGACTGCACAACTAGTTTGATAAATTGTCTGGACACCACTAGGAAGCCCACTGGATTAGCAGTCAATGCAATCAGATTTTTTTATATACATACAACAACACCATGAATGCTACAGCAGTGACAACGCTCATACAGAAAACATTTACCAACTGTAACTAAACCAAACTGCTAATTGCATGAAGTTCCATTACAATAAATTTTTAAAAGAGGTCACACTGAAAAATAAAAGTTTAACAAGTTAGGATAAAGACACAGAAAGAAGCTTTAAACAGGAAAGCCTGATACAGCAGCTTGTATGACAAGTTCCAACTCCGGTTGCCATCGCACTTACCATTTATGTCCTCCTTTTACACTGAACAGTAATAAGGAATAGGATATAAGTGAAGGAAGCTTACTTTTCAAGGCTTTTAAGAAACAAAAACAAGCATTAGAAAATTATCGGTTGCCTTCTAAGTACACGGTAGGCAGAAGACTTCAACGTGTTACATAATTTAAGTCAAAAGAGTTCATCAAGACCAGATATGATTAAAAACTACACCCCAGTTCTGTAAGATGTTGTGCTAACAAAGAAGCAACTTTATACTCTCAAAACTGAAATTAGCTTTTTTCAACATATGCACAATGGTAATCTAGGACTAGATGAAACTACCACATGGTCTCTGTTTACAATAAACAAATTAAGAATAAATCAAAAAAACTTCAGCTGTATAAGTTCTATTAAATAGAGTAGAAGATGCATCATTTTGCTACCTCCAGATAAGATTTATAATTCTTATTGGCTCCAAAATGCAAAGGCTTTTTCAAACCTCCATTCATACATCACAACCTCAACACAGATCTAAAGACATGTTGTAACAAATGCTTGTGAAATGATATGTCATGCTTCGTTTCATAGCTGCCCTTATTAGAAAGGTGTTAAAGTAAGTAAGCAATAAATCACTCCCAATGCCCTTAAAGAGGAAGAATTAAAACTGGAGGCAAAGTAGTCATCACATGACTGTAACACTCCTCAAAACAAGGGAAAACTGATTAATTATTGTATACATCACTTTGAGTTCACATGATATAAAAAGAAGATGGCTATGCTTCATATTCCTTCAGTCGACCTGTATCTCTTTTGGCAGGCTTCTCACTGCACAACTACATCTATATAATCTCACACCGTATGTTATTCCAGATGAATGAATAAAATCCCCACAAACGAAACTCAGTAGGAGAGCTCCACACACTCTAGAAATTCCTTCCAACTCTTTTTCCCACAAAATTTCAGTGTGTAAAATCACATAAATTACAGTGATTGAAATGCTTTCCACCTGAACTATTCCTCTTTCTTCCTTACGCTATGACATTTTCCTATGTCTAGCCCACAATCTGAAGAGCTTCTGAAGAGCTTCCAAATTTAAATATGCAGAACAGTATGAGGATGGCAAGCAATTCAAGCTCATAGACTAAGTAACCTTACCTCAAAGAGCTGCAAAAAAGCAATTAAATAGAGGCTGCTGTGACCAGCATTATCCAGCACTCCCTCCATCTTGAGCTGCAGGGAAAACACTGCTATCCAACAGCAAAAGGAACTGAAGGAAGCTGCTGCCATCTCTTTCCTGCAGCTCTCAGCAGTGAGCAACAGGGATCTTGTAGCTCAGCCATGGGATTACTTTGACACATAACTTACACAATCACAAAGTCGAACTGCCCCCAAAAGATGTTATGATAGTAACATGAAATGAAATTACATACTTGGCTCTAGAGAAGTCAGAATCACTTCAGTATCACTTCTAGATTACATCAGATGATTGCTACATCCTGTTTTGCAAAATATGACTTACCAGTTTAGTAACAGGAATGCACTAAAGGATATTTTAAGTTTTCAGTTCTAGATCATCATCCCCCCAAAAACGTATGCTTAAACACAGTTTTTCTTACAGTGAGAGCACGCAGGGAAATAAATTACCACCTATTTCCAGCTGCGAGTTTCTCAAACAATCAGCAAAATCAACTGACAGCAGTTGGTAACATCACAAAGGAACTACTTTGCTTCCTCTCTATCTTTACTAAGAATCCTAAATCCAACAGGAAAAATAAAAGATTCCTGTTTTATCTTCTCTTGGGAGGTCTCAGAACATATTCAGCACACTCTTCAGAGTGTTCTACAGGCAGAGGTATTGCATAGCATGTAAAATAAACATTACTTCCACAAAGCACAAATCAGAAAGCAGCTGAGAAACCAGCAATTCGTTTCCATTTTATGCATCAAGTTGAACCTGTACAGAGGATCACTATGTGCATTACTTACTGCTTTCCCACTAAAATCTATTTTAGCAGTATTTTACTACATAAAATTAAAGCACTTAACTGTTTTGTGCTCACTTCACTGTTCTGGTTGGTAGAAACCATAACCATGACCAAAAGAGATCATCCTGAAAATTTAGGAAGCTGATTCCTCTGATATCTCCATTTTGCTGTTCCCTCCACATGAGACTTCAAAGGCTGAATAGACCTGAATACATTACTGCTACATTATTTAATGTAGCAACTGTGGCAAAGATCTTTTTCTTCCTTTGAACATTTTGGTCATCTTCAGTACAGATCTGGAGGTTTTCCTCATCTAGTCTAACAGAAAGGTCTCAAAGAAAGGGATTTTAGGTTTCATGTGAAGCTCCACTGCCTGTTTCTAAAGTATATGATTAATAATAAATTAAGCATAACACATAATAAGCAATCAAAGAAGCTTTGCAGTATGAATCATTTAAAAACTAAATTTGTCAGCTCAACTAAGGCACCTCTTCATGCCCATAACTATCCAGTCTCTAACCTTCCACTTAAAAAAGCTAAATGATTTCTTGGAAAACTTAACTTCCTGAATAAAAAAGGAAAATGATAATTTGAACACCTTCAATTAGCTGAAATGTTGAATTACTTATTTTCCTACAAGATAGTGAAGTCATAGTTCAAAAAAATTACACTACTGAATTTGTGCCATTCCACTCATGAGAATAACGGAGTTCTGAAGGAAAAACAGCACATGAGATGTCAATTCAATAAGACAAAATATTAAAAACTCCTGAAAACTACAGTAAAATATTTACTATTTCAACTTTAGTCAAAGTTCTACTTACGTTGTCCATGAAATTTGGCTTAAATCCTCCCTCCTGCTGCCGTCTCAATTCCTCCTGTTCCCTCTGGCGTAGCATCTCCTCTTCACGCCGTCTATGTTCTTCTTCATGTCTAGGATATTTTTCAAGAATTACATAAATTAAGACTCATGATCTGTTTGGGCTCATAACCAGTCTCAGGAGATAACATCAGCACGTAAGATAACTACCTACTAGCTTTTAATACAGGGTAAGGCACTAATCTGCTCAACCTGATGGGCTTGAACATTACTGAAATGTTTCTGTTTAACGAGTATTCAGGTATCCACAACACCAATATTCTTGCTCTTCTTCATATTCTATGGATTACAATATTTCAAGACTGCCTACAGCCAAACTGCTAACTCTATACAGTATATTGTTCTTTTGTATCCTCTCCATTTCTTGAGACATTTAATATAAGTAGTTGTAAGTAATACATATATTGCTTCAAAACCAATGCTGAAATGAATCACCCAGCACCTCAGTATGCTCATACCCACTATTTGGTCCCCAAAATTGTCCAGCAAGCATCAAGGAATGTCATTGGGTGCCATTTTTTCTGTACAGAGTTATTCAATGACAACTCAGCTTCATACATACTTCCATGTCAGACATCATTTCATCAGACAACCCCTCTGCTCCAACTCTCACACAGCCACAGATGTTACAGAATATTGGTGCAAAGGTTCAACCTCTACTGCTTTACCACCAACATCCACCTCAGACATCATGGGCCAATATCATAAGATAGGAGGAATTACATTCTGAGCAGCCCCTGTATTCATAAGAATCAGCTCTTAAAGAGAAAAGCAATACATCAGAAAACAAAGTGCCACAAAGCACTACTGTAAGATGAGAAAACACTCCCAAAACTCTTGACTATAAATCTGCAATGCTACACTTCTACACGCAGTAGATGAATACCCCCCAATCTTCCAAGTGTGTTCTACTACAGCTCCATTACAACTATGCTTCCATCACATTGAAAAATAAGTCATCATATGAAACATTCACATTACAGCATCTCTAAGCTTGTTAGAAAACTCATATTTACAAAACAACTGAGCTGAAATAAATGAAAAAAATACTAGAAATACTTGCAACTAGTCTTTTGTATTAGCATAAGTGACCATTCTTCTCTGCAAGAATGTTAACAGAAATGTTTCCTGTTATGATTTTGAAAAACAGTTTTTAAATGGTAGACATTCATATTTTGTATTAAAAGCTCTGCACACCAAAGTATCTAAACTTGTGCGGGCTGACAGCAGATGCACACTTTAAATTACTGCCACATCTTCATACAGTACAAGACAAAAATACCTCAACTGTATCTGCTTGCGTTTCTGAAGTTCTTGATTCCGAAGTTCTTCCAAACGTCTCAATTCTTCCTGACGCCGCATGAGATCTACCAGGATTCAAAACATAATGAATATAAAAGCTCTCAATTAACAACACAGTAACAACAACAAAATCACTATCAGATTACCATTCTAACAATAATCAATTTTAAAATTAAAGCCATTTCTCAACACGTCTAAGCAGCTCCCTCCCATTCAGCCAAGCTTGCCATATGAAAAACCACAAGGACCCAAGGCTCACACGCTAAGGCACTGCACTGGCTATGCCCTCCAAAGAAGGTGATGGATGCAGAAATTTGAAGCCCTAAAACAAGGAGAAGGGGAGCTTAAGAAAAAGTCGCAATCACTTTAACCACGTCCTGGTTTTGCAGCTTTGGCAAGGTATCCATTTTCTCACAGTGCTGCATAATGCTCAAGTCCCTTTAGCAAGGAAACTAGTGCAATTCATATTCTCCATCATCACATGGTTTAGTAGGAGCTATTGGGAATAGGTGAACGGTTGGACTGGGTGATCTTTTAGGTCTTTTCCAACCTTGGTGATTCTATGATTCTACTGCAGACAATTGCACAACACACCACAAACAAGTGAAATGAACTTGAGGTGCACGTGATCTGAACCTCTGGAGCGATTAATCATGACTGGTCTTACAGTCACTTAGAAATAACTGTAACTGTTAACACTACCAGAAAGAAAAGCCACATTCTTCCTTAGAAAACACTTTAAAACGCTCTTAAAAAGCAAGCCAGAACTAATAATAATTACTTTAGCACTATTTAATGCTGCCCAGTCAGACCACTGATTTCTGTCTGGAAACTCATGCATTCTTGAGTGAATATTAATTCCACCTCTTGCCACAATAAAAGCAGCTGTTTGCATATTCCATCTTCATAACATTGGCCACGTTATTTACAGACACCATTAGATGTGTTTCATGCTTGAGTTCAACTACTCCACACATTTTTACACGCATTTTTTCACCACATCAATTAAATCATTTTATTTACTCTGCAAAAAACTCAAGCTTGCAGCAGCACATATTATTATAAACTTTTACACTGCTACGTTTACCAAAATATCATGCATTTGTTTTCTTTTAACACAGATCACCAGAATTTTACCATATATTTAATAAAGTTTACCAGATAACATCCTTACAGACAGTGTAAGTCTTCTCTCATGTTTTGCAGGCCTGCCTTTACCAACTTTGCAAAGTCAATGTATTTACATGGACTAATGATTAAAGCAAAGATTCATTCAAATCAAAAAGTCACAGGACCATTTCCTTACAACAGTGCATACTGTAGCAGGCTTAGCCAATGCTATCTTCTTACTCTGCCAGACTCCTTAAAGTAACATTTAGATTGGTTCATAGTAATCATGAGATCACGAATGAACCCACTGTGCATTCAGCACTGGTCACTGTGGGAAAAGGTACCTGTCTTCATTCTATTTCCCACTTACCTATCATCCCCTTTTTCCTTACATTAATACACCGCAACAGTTTCTACCTTCTCTCTACTGCTGCTATGAATTTATCATTTTCTCCCCTCTAAGCTCTACAGCCCTAATTTCACACATTTCTAAAAATTTTCAAGGCCTGTTTCTGATTACTGTCCTTCCTGAAACTGTTAGAACTTAAAAGCTCAGCATAACAATTAGGTTTGGTACCACCCAACAGTGGCAGAATCTTGACACAAAGCTTCATTAGCTAGACAAAAATAAAGATCTAGATGTTTGGGCTGTGCAGAGCCTCTCATATTAGAGGATTTGCAATACTGCTGATTCTGGACTGACATTTATTGGACACGGGTCCTTTCTCTGAACAGAAAAAAAAACTGCACTGAAGCTGATAGCTGTGAAACAGATGGAAAGCATGACTATTGCCTTCCTCATCTTCTCATGCCTAAAGAAAAAAGATGTTTCAATATTCAAATTCTTGCAGATTCAAGGACTGAAGGTGAAAGTGACCCCTCATCTCAGGGGTTAATCCTACACGCAGCCATACCAAGACCAAAAAGTTGCATTGTTTTAGCTGCTAATTTTTCAGGTTCTAAAAACAGAAAGCAAATGGCCACTTTCCATGCAGAAGAATGAAGTTTCTGATTAAATCTAGTCAAATCTTCTAGTACTTTGTCAAACTATTTCACTGTCATTATGAAGAAATATTTACACAACTCTAAAGCGTACCAGCAATATGCAGATCAGAAATATCATGCCAATTTACTTACAGATGGAAGCATGTATTCTGCTTCACAAATTACTTCTGACTCAATCTGTCAAAACGTGACACTTAAAAGTGAGAAATCACACACGTTGAAAGAATGAAGTCTCTACCTTCAGTGTTAATACCATGCCATGAAAACTCAGGTACTTCAACCAGCATGTTCCAGTGCAAGTCCCAACACCTCTGATAAAGCAATTTCATTAAAACTCGTTCTCCTTTGTCTGCTGAAGTATATGGATTGTAGGAAACTCATTCTTCTCATCTTTTTAGCTCCTGCTAACTACTATGCTATAGTTTTACATTCCATGTTTCAGAATAACTATTTCAACAACCTTTGCAACCAGTCATTTCGTTTGTGCATCAGGTATGCAAAAATAGTCATTCCTGATTCTGATGTTTTATGTTTCACTGCAATCGTTCTTAAAAAGCACACAATTCAATCTCATCAGGTTACTTTCATATACACTGAAGCTAAAGAGCTGGTAAGAGGAAAAAAAAAAAACAAAAAAAAAACAAGAAACATGCTGACAGCTGAGCTATTCAAATTCCTGCATATCAATAAGCTCAAATCTGAGCACCTGCACAAAATTCCAGGTTGTTTAGTACCAAAGAAGTGCTCCATTATAATCAAAGAGGAATGACAAACCCTCTTCCCACAGCAACAAAAAGCCAATCTTCTCAATGGAATATTGACACCAGAAACATCCTTATTCCAGTGGCTCTTCAGCAGAAGAAATAGTCTTTTTCTTTCTGTGTAAAAGTGGATCTTAAAAAATATTCCAAAAAATGAGAACTTTTTCCTTCAGCATCCATAAAAGGAGCTACAGTAACTATTTGGCATTTGAAATTTGTTGTTTTTTCTTATTATTTTATTATGCTCTGTATTGCAGCACCAGATCTTACATAAACACAGTTTCTCACTTAGTGCAAGCACGCTCATTGAGAAACAAGAGGATAGGTGAACTTCTTCCTAACAACAACTTCCAGTCATAGCAAAACTAGTAACTTTAAAAACTAAGATCAAATGGTGTCCTGCAGTTCTCAACTGAAAGCAATGCAAACAGCAGTAATTATGGGCCACCAGCTTTTTGGGAAAAGACTAACAGGCAGAAAATATCAGCTACTTGCCCTGTTTCTGCTTTGCCACAGAAATACAAGCTCAACTCAGCTCCATTCCCAAAGGTAGGGCTTGAAAACAGTTTCTAAAGGACTTTCTTTCCCCCAAAACTACAGAAAGGGAACATATCCACAAAGTTAAATAAGAGTGATGCACCATTTTATACTTCCAAGAATAATGTAGCTTAATGACAACTGTCACTTACTTTGAGTTGCCTACAACAATCATGCATACAGATTTCTCAGTTGGGTTTCAAATGTTTTTTTTTTTTAAAAAAAAAAAAAAAAAAAAAAAGTAAAATTATTTTGGATTGTATTGGAGAGGCACGATCAGCTGTAACTATGAGCCATCATTTTACATTTTTTTTCCTGCCCAGGACACACAAGCAGTGCTGTGTCCCATCTATTATCATAAACAACACCAACAAAAAAAATTTTACAGATGAATTTGAGGCTACCATTCATTCTTGTGATATAAACTATTTACAGCACAAAAACTTAAGTGAAAAAATACATCTAGGCAACCTCCCCTTTCTCAACTTCTTAATCCATTACTGCAAACCCTCAAAGACTACACAAACAGAAAAATACTACTTCCTTTGTCTTGGTTCAACGCATTTAATTAAATAGCATCTGCCAGAAATCTCTGCATTTAACAAACAGCTCAATATGCTACAGACAGAAAATTTGTGAAAAAGAAAGAATTAATGCTAATACATTATCTGATTTTTTACCTTGCCTCATCAACATTAGCTGATGCTCATGTCTAGCTGCTTCCATTTCTGCCTCTAGTTTCTCTTTGGCTTCTCTAATGTTCCTGTCAACCTGTTCACGCTGTTGTTTTTCCATCTCATCAAGAGCCTTCCAACGTGAAGCATACTCAAACTCAAATGTTCCAGGTTGAGCAAAACGTGGAGGCTGTTCTCTTTCCCTAATAAAAATTTTGCAGTTAAAATGTACAGAAGGACACATTAAGATCAACAGCTGTAACAGCCAAAGAATTCACAAACAATCACTTCAAATGTAGTAATCTGATGCCAAGTCAGATCTGCGTCGCAAACCAGTTTGTCAGTTTAATTCAGCTGTTAATGTGGTAAGTAATCTGATCAGAGAAATCTTGCAAATAAATATCTACTCCATTTATATAATCAACACAGAAACGTTTAATTACCATGGTACAAAACATTTAGCTGTGACATTAGAAGGGTGAACCCAGCTAATCTAAAGTGGTCACATCACATAGGAAATTAAATGCATATTAAAGCTTACTAAACAGTTCAGACTGTTAGTAAGAATATTTAAATATCTAAAGGAGCCAATACTTCATTCACATTCTAACACTAGTGCTTTAAAGAACAATTATTTTTTTCTTTCAAGTATTACTGTACAGGTTTAACTGCTTACCAGAGTAAGTATTTTAGTTTCAAGCTGCAACATTTCTAAATAGCAATCAGATCTGAATGTTACAAGTAATATTCTCTAACGAAGGAAAACCCTCTTTCACCTCATGCTAGACTCTTTTTTGCTCAAAATTACATCCAAATCACAGAAGCTGCCAAGATTTATACCCCAGTGACTCTACAGAGAAGGTGGTGCTAGTCAAGAGGATAAAATTCTGTGGGTGTACATATCTCTGCAGGATCAGACCACAACCCAAGCTCACAAAAAACTATCAGTGATTGGCAGTAAGCTTCAGCTGATTTCAGACAAGACCAGGAATCTCTACCTCAGTAAAATCACAGAATGCTAAACCGACAAGACTGCATTTTACTATGATTAGGAAAACGAAAAGAGTTGCTTGTTAATCTTTAGAATCAGTGGAACAGTACAATAGTTAGGTTGGAAGGAGCCTAAAAGATCCTAAGGTTCAACAGCTGGGACCTGGGGGTGCTGGTGACAGCAGCTCAGCACCAGCCAGCAGTGCCCCAGCAGCCAAGGGACAAACCACCTTTTGGGGAGCATTAAACACAACATGGCCAGCCAGTCCCATGAGGCGATTCTCCCACTGTATTTAGCACTGGTGCAGCCCAGCCTTAAGTACTGCATGTAGCTCTTGGCTATAAAGTATAAAAAAGATGCAAAGGTATCCAAAAGCATTCAGAGGCAGGCAGTAAAGCTGGCAGGACTGCAGGGTACATCCTATGGGTGGCAGAACACACGGTTTATCTAGTTTAGAGAAAAGGAAGGGAAGTGCAGACAGAGGTACCAGGCTCTCCTCTCTAGTAACCAATGACTAATGGGAGACAAGGAAAAAAATTCTTTACCATGAGGGTGGTTCACACCCTGTGCTTGTTGGTGGTCAAGAGGCAGCTGGATAATGCTGTAACTTTTGGTCAGCCTCAAGGGCTCCGGCAGTGGACTCAATGATCTTTGAAGGCCACTTCCAACTGAACTATTCTAATGCCAATTCTGAATACAGAAATGACACATCGCTTTTCTGTGGGAAAAAGTTAACTGACCTAACATCTGGCTTCCTCTTGGCTGTACAAAATAAACATACACAAACCTGAAATACAAATATTACCTTACTAAATACTTACTTAGTATCTTCATTTTATAAAGTTAAAAGTCAAACCGAACTTACTTGTGGTACTGTTGTGTTTTTTGCATTAGCTTCTCTGGGAGCCCATCCTCATCATCAAATTGCTCCATTGGCTCTACAACAACAGGTCGAGGTGTTCTGGAAGAGAATTCCAATTGAATAACTGAATAATGAAAGAAACAGTAAAATAAGCTGCTCTGGTATTTTGAAGCAGCACCTTTGGAAACTAACATACATATTATCTCACCGTCCTGTTCCGCAAATTCTTCTGAAATAACAAAATTCCAATTAATCCTAATTTCAAAAATCATCTTTGAAAGTAACAACTGGTTCTACACCCAAAACCAGCTGTGCAATTCTGCATAGAAAATACAACTTCATGTAGTTTTGGCTGCCATGAAATACAGGAATATTTGAAGCTGAAAAAAAATCTCAAAAACGTTACAAATTATTTAGACAGTGTGGGAACCATCACTATAACAGTACTGCACCAAGCAAAGCCAAAAGGTAGCAGTATTCACTCTGAACAGATTCTAATTATGGTTACTCTACAACTAAAAACAGCTTGATATTTTTGCAATGATTTTTCTATTTCTAGAATAACTTCTACATAATGTGGAGTGCATTCTTGGAGTTTGCAGTATTTGAAGTAATCAGAGTCAAGTATTAGCTAACGATGGATAACAATAAAATCTTCAATTGTATGTAAGAACTACACCAGTTTTGGGAGCATCTGAATAATATCTTAAAATTTTACGAGCTACAAAGGTCCTACTGTCAGAACACCAGCACTTTGGATTTTGTTCCACACTTTAAAACAAAAAAAAAAAAAAAACCTTTGCAGATCACAGAAAACGAAATGTTTGTATTTTAAGAACATGGACAGCTGGAAAAAATCGTTAGGCATCATGGGGGGGGGGAGGGGGGAACAGCCTGGAATCGTAGTGTACAGCATTTCAAGTATTTCTCCTCTCTGAATAGAAAGGAGAAATTTTAGTTCTCCTTTAAAATATCAAGTTTCTAATTTTGAAGCAAAACAAAATCCATCACAGCACAAAAACTATCATAGGAGATTCATATTAATTACATTAGCTTAAGAGTCTGATGTGTTTCCTACTGTGCAGCTAAAAGACAAAGATCAAGTGCTTTTTATTCACTAAGTCATGGTTAGATGATCACTTCCATCAAACAAAGCTAGCCAGCAACTACTAAAACAAGAATATCCTCCCTCGTATCCAGCTTCTTTTTCCCCCTGCCACATCTTTCATGCCAAGAATAGTACTCATGTAACACTATAGCATTCACTGAACTAGATTAGTTGCCTGGTTTGGCTCACCATGCCTCCACTCAAACACTAATGCCAAGAAAATCCACAACAAATAAGCACAAACTGCCAGCGCCTACTGATAATAACAGAGACTTAGACTGAATTTACTATGTATCCACCAGAATTCAGTCCAGTCACACATACGATTTATGATATTATTATCAGCAAGAGGAGTTCCAAATCCTTTTTCCACCTGCCATCTCATCAGAGCAACATATTTTCCTGCCTTATCCTCAGCTGAACCTGGTGTTCTTAATACCCAGGTGAGCAAGCACCTTGACTTTCTAAAACAGCCTAAAATGAACGTAACAAAAGCAGCCACATACCTTTCCTTTTTTCACTAAGCACAGGTGGCTATTGGAAGTATCAAACAGCTCTGAAGGTAAAAGCAGCCTGAATCAGAACTGCAACTTCCCAACAGTATGGCAGCAAGCCTTGACACTGTGAAACTGCAGCCCTATTTTCCCAAATTATATGGGGTTAAAAAAAAAAAAAAAAAAAAAAAAAACATTCCTGAACATCTACCATTTCACTCAGCCTTTATGAAAATACTGGAAGCTGTCCCTAGCTACCGTATAAAAAAGCACAGCAGTTAACAACTCTTTTCATTGGGTACCAAAATAAGAGATGGTAGAGCAAAGTACCATAATCCACAAGCTTGCTTGACCTTGAAATTTTTCCAGAAATTTCTGCCATCAACTTGTGCAAAACAAGTTCACATTAGAAAGAAAAATCCTACAGCTTTGAAAGATATAAATAAAGCTTTCTTGAAGACAAAAAGCCAAATAACATTTTCCCAAGTTTAAAGACATATCAGCAAAGTCGCGCCCCCCCCTTAGCCAAGAAGCACATCCTTACACGGTATCAGTACTGGGATCAGGAAGAGCTCAATCAGTGAAAATAAAGACTCATTGAGAAGAGCCCTATTAAACAGGCTGGAATCCAAAATTACAAGACTTGTAATCAAACGAGTGGCTTTATTTTTTATTCTCCAGTGTGGAGAACAACGTATTTCAGGCAGTCACGTAAAGCACCTTTAATTTCTGATCTCACGGCTTTCATGATTTGAAAATAAGAACTATGGAATGCCCACGAATGCTTTTTTCTTTCACATGAGAAATGCATACTCGACACAAACGCAAACAAAATCCCGTGGACTTACGTTGTTAGCAAGAATGCACCATCACTGCATCTTTCTAGAGCTTTCCGTGCCGGAGGTTTTGCCGCAAACTCTACGAAACCTTTTCCTGTAGCTCTGCCGCGATCATCTACTACAACTACAGCTCTCTCCACGGGTCCAAACTGAGAGAATGCTTGTTCCAGCAGCTCATTAGAAACCACGGGTGAAAGATTCTTGACTGTTAGGGCAGCTCCATGCGTAGCAAATCGAATTCGAAGTGGTCTGCTCTTCAAAATAGTACCATCAAGTTCTGCTTTTGCTATTTCGGCCAGTGTCCTAGATTCCTTTTTCAAGATACAAAATATTGTATATGTTTTATTTACAAAGACAACAGACATAGCTTTTGTGCTGTTGTTCCTCCCCTCAAACCCCAGAAAAGTAGCATTTTTTCTTCCTTTAATAGGAGCTCATTTTCATCAAGGTCATTTAGCACTCATTTTTGCCTTCCGAAAGTTCCTATCCACTGACTGCCATAATATGCACTTTTCATCTCGTACGATTTAGTCTAAAAAAAGTTACTTAGATGCACATTTTTCTTACACATTAGAGTAATCATCACCAGTACGCCTGCACTGCACTGTAAAGGCTTTCTGCAGAGTTGAGAATTTGACGCCTTTTTATATTTACCTACTGAAATGCTTAGCTTCACACAGGAGCTGTTCCTTACAGAACAGTATCCCCAGAGACTGCACTACAAGATCTAAAGGCCAGTGCTTCTGGTTGCTTTCTGGGATTATTTTTTTTTTTTTTTAAATCGATGAAAATATGCTTTGAAAACAACTTGCTTGTTGCTACCATTGGATAAACTCTCCACGTGTGTCCAATTCTCATCATTTCTTGACAAAATCACATTGCAACTGCTGTATTAATTCCTCTCACGCTTACAGGTTTTCTGCACCCACATCCATGAGACAAGTCCATCTCAATAACTGCCTTTTTCTCACCTCAGAAATCCTCAACTAGTTTTATACCTGCAATCCCAAATATTTAAACAAATAATTCTCAAAATGGCAGCCATTTTCTCCACACCTTGACCAACCACACAAATGGCTTAAAAATATTACTCTATTAGTATAGTGCATAAGGGACATTTGGGTAGATACTGATCTCTACTACGTGCAGAACTGAGTAATGTACGCAAATATATTGCACTCCCTATAGGAAACTGTTAATTCAGGTTGCGAGAACTCTGTCACAGTAAAAAACAGATAGCAGGATGCCACATTTACCTGTGACAAGCAAAAGATGTTTAAAAAAAAAAAAAAACAAAAAAAAAGCCTAACCAGCAAAACGTGCAGAAAAATCTTAAGTACAGTTGGCACAGAAAGCACTTTAAAGCTTTTCTCTGAACTCAGTAAATCAGAGCATCCTAGACGTGGCAGTCAGGAAAACTAGTCCTGCACATGGAACTGAAAAATGTAAATGCAGCATGACACGCTTTGAGGATGATTTCTTTTTTGAACACTTGATTTGAAATAATACTGGTTAAATTGTATGAGCCCGAGAATCGTTAAATTCAGACAATTCTAAGTTTCCAATTCGGTACAAGCGTGAATTACATGTTCTGAGCTTTCAATACGTGTGAGCAATGGTATTTCAAAACAGATCCAAGCAATCTTTAAAATTAACTGCATGAGGAAATACTCATAAAGAACCGCGCAGATCGAAATTTGCTTCGGCACCGAGAGTCCTAAAGTACAATAAAACGCTCCCAGTTAACGAAAGAAAAATCGTTTTACGTGTATTCAACGAATGGAGCAGATCGCACAAGAACTCCCGCTGGCCGAGCTGCGGGAACAGGGCGAGCAGCACGTCAGCGGGGCCGGGGGAGGAACCCGAAACCCGCACGGCCCCGAGGGGGGAACGCCAAGGGCTTACAGCGCGGCTCCAGCTGGGGAGCGCGGGGCGAGAGGGGCGGAGAGCAGCGCGAGCAGCGAAGGACAAAAAGAGAACGCGGGGCAGCGGCTGCGCTTCACGGCCGCCCCGCGGGGAGAGCGGGGCGGGCTGGGGCGGGGCAGGGCAGGGCGGGCCGCAGAGCCCAGCGAGCAGCTCACCAGGCGGATGAAGCCGAAGCCGCGGTCCCGGTTGATGAAGACCTCGCTGGGCTCCCCATAGCGCTCGAAGAGGCGCTTGAAATCTTCCTCGGTGATGTCGGTCGGCAGGTTGCCCACGAACAGGCGGCAGCGCTGCGTGTAGCTCTTCTCGCCGGGTTTGAGAAAGCTTTTGATGTCGATTGTGAACCCGCCCTCCTGCTCCTCATCCCCGCCCTCCTTGCCCGGCACAAGCGCCATGGCCGCCGCCTCGTTCTCCGTCTCCAGGCCCCGCAGCCCCTTCAGGCCGCCGCCACCGCCCCCCACCATCCCCAGCGGCGCCGCTGGGGAGCTGTTCTCGATCCGCACTTGCTTCAAGTTCCGATTCGCCGCCATGCTCAGCCCTCGCTCCCTTCTCCCCGGTTTTCTCAGGGGGTGCGGAGCCGCGCTCGGCAGCCACCGCCTCCGATCCGCAGCCGATTCAAAATGGCGCCGCAGCCGCCCCCGACGAGTTGCAACGTCCCCGCGGCCGGCCCCGCCCACCGGCGGCCGCTCTCTCTCGCCGGCCGCTACGCCTGCGTGCCGCGCTCCCCGCGGCACCTCGCAGGGAGGAGGGAGCGGGCTGCGCACGCGCTCCGCCGCACGGCACGGCGGGGCTGCGGAGGTGCCGCGGCCGGCCGTGGCGGGCCTGTCTCCTTCGAGCGCCGTCGTCACCGTTCGGCTCTGGGAGCCGGGCGAGCCCGCGTCGGACCGCGGGAGAACGGCCTTCGCATCTTTGGGGCCCTGGGGCTCAGCCCAGCCGGGAGCTTCCCCGCCGCTTTCAGCCAGTGCGGCTCCCTCGGGCCTTACCCGCCCGCCGCGAATCCGGCCGTGCTCGGCGGAGCGGTGCTCTGAGGCGCGTTCCGATCGCGCGCGCTCCGCTGCGGTCCGTACCGAGGCGGGAGAACACCCTGCGGGGCTCTGCGCCGAACAGAGGGCGGAGGGCGGCGGTACCCGCGCTCGACGCCGAGGAGACTGCAGGGAGCGGCGCAGGCAGACGAAGAGCCGAGCGCTGTGGAGGCAGAGGGAGGGCCTCGGGCTGCGGGAACGCGCCCACTGTTGGGTGCGGGCGGCACGGCTGCGGGGGCAGGCCTTACTGCGCGGGATGCCGGCGCGGCGCTGTCCTGCGCGGCCGCTGCCGCCCTGTGAGGGGGCGGCTTTCATTCAGACAAAGCGCTGTGCTCTGCCTGCGGCCTCGGAGGGACCTGGTAAAATAAATTGTTCTTGCTTCCAATTCCCACTGTAGCCTGAGCAAGATCTCGGAAGAAAATAACTTTTTTATTTATACAGCTATAACAATTACAAAAAAAAAAAAAAAACCAGCACCTGTAGAGAACCTTCTGTGATTAGTATTTATTTAGCTAATCCATGACGTGGGCTGTTCTTTTTCAAAGTAGCAATAAGCGTGATACTGAAGAAGTTAGCTCTGCAGCAGGCGTGAGCACGTTGCTGAGCAATTTCACAGAATCAGAATGTCCTGTGTTGGAAGAGACCTGTAACGATCATCGAGTCCTACTCCTGGCTCCACGCAGCACCAGCCAAGAATCAGTCTGTAATCAGACTGAAAGAGTGGTCAAGCAGTGGAATGGGCTGCCCAGGAAGGTGGTGGAGTCACTGGCCCTTGCAGGTGTTCAAGGAACATTTGGACATTGTGTTGAGGGATGTGGTTTAGTGAGACCTATTGGTGATAGGTGGATGGTTGGATTGGGTGATCTTGTGGGTCTTTTCCAACCTTGGTGATTCTATGATTCTTTCCAAAAATCTGACAGCCTGTATCTGGATGGCATAGATGCTGGCATTAAGGGGTTGCGTGGCCCTGAGAAGCTAGGGGCTAGTCTGAGCTTTGCTGCCACTGGGCACTAGCACACATAAGCAGGCGTGCACACGTGCATGCACGCTGGTTCACACACACACACACACACACACACACACGACTGCCCTGGTGATAGAAGATAAAGAGAAAGCAGTATTACTGAATGCCTTCTCTTGCCTCTGCCTATGCAGATGGAGGCTGTCCTGAGGAGTTACGTACCCCCTGAGGCCCCAGAGGAAGTCAGGATCAAGGAAGAGTTTGCCTCAGTTGATGAGGACTGGCCTAAAGATCAGTCAAGCAATCTGGACATCCATAAATCCATGGGTCCTGATGGGATGCACCATGGGTGCTGAGGGAGCTTGTGGAAGTCATTGCTGGGCCACGGCCACTCTCTATTGTCTTTGGTAAATTGTGGGGAATGAGAGAGATGCCTGAAGACTGGAGGAAAACAAATGTCATTCCAGTCTTCAAAAAGGGCAAGAAGGGGGACCTGGGTAATTATAGACTGATCAGCGTCACCTCCATCCCTGGAAAGGTGATGGAAAAACTTATCCTTGGCACTGCCTCTAAGCATATCAAGGATAAGAGGATAAGAGGTCAATAGGAGCAGACAACATGGCTTCACCAAGAGGAAGTCATGCTTCACCAACCTGATAGCCTTTTATGAAGACGTAACCAGGTGGGTAGATAACAGGCAAAACAGTGGATTTGGCGTGTCTTTGTTTTAGTGTAACATTTGACACTTCTCCCACAGCATCCTGGCAGCTAAACTGAGGAAGTGTGATCTGGACAATTGATTGAGTAGTGAGGTGGACTGGCTGAAGGAAAGAAGACAGAGAGTTGTGGTCAATGGGACAGAGTGAGTCTAGTTAGAGGCCTGTATCTAGTGGAGTCCCTCAAGGGTCAATACTGGGACCAGTGCTGTTCAATATATTTATAAGTGACTTGGATGAGGGAGCAGAGCGTGCTGTTAGCAAGCTTACTGATGACACAAAACTGGGAGGAGTGGCTGACACGCCTGAGTGGAGCTGGAGACTGAATGAAATATAACAAGGGCAAGTGTAGAGACTTGTATCTGGGCAAGAACAACCCCAGGTACCAGTACAGATTGGAGACTGACCTGTTGGAGAGCAGCACAGGGGAAAGGGACCTGGCTGGTCCTGGTGAACAGCAGGGTGACCACGAGCCAGCACTGTGCCCTTGTGGCCAAGAAGGCCAATGGCATCCTGGGGCATCCTAGAAGGGGCATGGTTAGTAGATGGAAGAGGTTCTCCTCTTCTACTCTGCCCTGGTGAGACTGCATCTGGAGTATTGAGTCCAGTTCTGGGCCCCTCTGTTGAAGAAGGACAGGGAACTGCTTGAGAGAGCTTGAGAGTCCAGCACAGAGCCACAAAGATGATGAAGGGACTGGAGCATCTCCCTTATGAGGAAAGGCTGAGGGACCTGGGTCTCCTTAGCGTGGAGGAGACTGAGAGGTAACCTCGTTAACATTTATAAATATGTAAAGGGTGTGTGTCAGGAGGATGGAGCCAGAGTCTTCTCAGTGACATCCAGTGACAGGACAAGGGCAATGGGTACAAGCAGTAACATAGGAAGTTCCACATAAATATGAGAAAAAACTTCTTCATGGTGAGGGCAACAGAACACTGGAGCGGGCTGCACAGAGAGCTTGTGGGGTCTCCTTCTCTGATGGCACTCAAAATTTGCCTGGACACATTCCTCTATGACCTAATCCAGGTGTTCCTGCTAAGGTGAGGGGATTGCACTAGATGAGTTTTAGAGGTTCCTTCTGTATGGGAAGTGCTGAGTTACGGCCTGAACCTCTGATTGATCACCTGAGGAGAGCAATGAGTCAGCCAGAGGAGCACAGGTGAAGGTTATTCACCTGTGCTGCCAGCAGGGGTGGAGCCAGTCTCCAACCCTCCTAGACCTATTTAAGAGTTGGCTACAAGTAGGGAAAGATGTCTTCTGGAGATCTGCTCTGCTAAAGTTTTGTAAGTGAGTCCAGGATGTGGGTAAGCTTTCTATCCTTCTTTTTGTTATCATTATTTCATTTACCAAACTCTATTGTTTATTTTGTAATTATAACATCATAATATTAATTGATTATACACCTTCTGTGATTCTGTAAATGATATGGAGAAGAGAAAGCAACTATTAAAATGAAGACTTGTTTAAAAAAAATATTCTTCACATCTTGGCCAAGATTCTGGCATTTAGATAGTTTTTAATAAATAATACAATTTTTTTTAGCTCATTCTCTCTTCTTTCTCTTCTTTCCCCTTTCCTCCTTTTAAATTTCCCTCTTCATTCTCTTTTTTGTTCCATCCCAATCTTCTGCCTTGCTTGTCCGCCTTGCCTTGCTTCTACCTGCTCCACCATTGAAGAGAAAACTCTCTTATTCTCCTTCACGTCTCACTAGAAATAGGAGAGTTGCAACTTGAGTAATTTTCTTCTCAAGCTGACTTTGAGAGATAGAAAGAAGTGCTGCTTTCTCCCAGGATCTCTCTGGTAGAGGCAAGCTACAACTGTGACCGCAGCTACAGCAAAAGCAGGAGTGCCAGTACCTGTCTGTGGGCCCAAGCAGCCAGGAGAAGTTGTCAATCGTGACCTCTGCGTGACAGCTTGTGAGGATGACCACTGACTCTGCAAGGAGTAACCATGGCCATTCAGTGCACGAGTAGTGCCTGCTCCCTTGACATGCTGCCAAGGCCTAAGCCTAAATTTCATGCCAGCCACCCTGTCCATGCCCTGGCTCTGCATTCAGGCTGTGCTTTTTTAGCACAAGAGGAAAGCAGCACAAGACATAGTGCAACAGCTAGCAAAAGTCCAAGGTACGTGGAAGAAAGTCTCTTACATCCCAACAGATATCCTTTCTGTACATCTGCAGAAAGGTGGTCATCCACTTCCCAGCAGCACGCACACGCACTCCTTTGGCTCTCCTGAAGGTCTCCTTGATGGCCATCATGAAGTCAACGGTGCGTTCTAGAGGGAAGTTTCTGCACATGATCTGCAGAGAAATGAGAAGCAAGAGAGATCCTGTCACTGCTCTGCGGCAGCTCTTCAAAACATAAAGCAGTCTTGAGGGCATTCTTAATTCAGCAGCTTGCCAGTCATTCATGCAGCAATCACAATGCTCCTGCTGTCTGTACCCTGCTGTTTACACAGAAGGCGGCTGAGCCTTCTCTCAGCTTCTCCACCCATGGTGTTTGCTTACATGCAAAGCCTACCTCTCAGCAGCCACAGTCACACACAAGCACACATGGAGTCAGCTCCTTGCACTGGGCACCTGAAGGCCAGGCATAGCTCAGAGCCTTCTGCTACTTGCTGAGAAAAGCAGTCTCAGGGTGACAGTTCATTCTGCTGTCATCAGTGCAGGGTTGTGCAGAAGCCCATGCACTGAGATCCCACCACCCTTTTTTGGGTCTACTTATCCTTGCCATTTTGGATGAGGTCTGGAGCTGACAGATGGCGCTGCAGGCATGCAGCCCCTCACACAGGCTCCTGATGTCTCCTGTCTCAATGTCTCTGTTCGTTGCTTTGGCTGGAAAGAGCACAGGGAGAAAAGGGAAGTCATGCTTCTGGAAATGGAACTGCTTTCCAAGGGAAAGACAGAGGACAGGGTGGGGACAAGCAGAGAGCTGTGCACAGCTCCTCCCTCTTGTAAACAGGACCCAGCCCGTGGGGCTCTGGTAGTGCTGCGGAGGAGGGCAGAGGACTGGCGCACGCCTGCTCTACTCACCTTGGATTCAGAGAAGGGAGCTGAGGCAGGTGACAGCCAACTGGTGGGATGTGGGCATGGGGCCACATGTCAGAGGTGCCAGCAATCCCACCAAGGAGCCAAAGTGCTCCTAGGCATCTCCTCTCTGCAGGGGTGAGAGGCAGGAACAAAGCTGTAGGTGGCCCCAGCTTCTCCTGCCTGTGCCTTCCCCACACTGTGACACAGCATGCACAGCTGAATGGAGCTCGCCTTCCAGCTCAGGGGCACAGGGGCGGGAGCAGAGGGCACGTGGTGGGGCTCTTTACTCACTTGAAACTCTTCACAAACAGTCAGCAGCTGGGAGCAGGTCTGCAGGGCCCTCTTGCGCTCCCACACATTGTCTCATGTCATAGATCTCTGCAGGACCTGTGGCAGAGCATCTGTCTCACTGAGGATGTCTTTTATTTCCCTTCCTGCCACCCCTCTCCCTGTCCCTCCTTTCCTGACGCTTTCCCTCAGGGCCCCCCGCACCACCACTGCTGCTCCTGCTCTCTGCAGACACTCCTGCCTCCTAACCCAGGAGCTTTTCCTTGGCTGTGGCTTGCCCCAGGCATGGGCTCCTGCCTTTCCCCCTGCAGGGCCCATTTCCCTGCCCATTTTTGAGCTTGCAGTGAGCTGTGTGTCAGCAGGAGATTTCTCCCCCTCTGACTGCCCTCTCAGTCCCCAGATCTCTGTCTCCGCTGCTGACAGTTACCATGCTTTCTCCCTTACCCCCCCACATACTCACATGGACTGTGTTCTGGAAAAAGCCACGGGTGGGCTCTGTCTTGAGCAGAACTGCCATAAGCTGGCCCAAAGATTTCAGTGATGTTTGCTGAAGCTGAAAGCAGAAGAGGGGATTGAGGTGTAGCATCATGGCTGCTGCCAGAGCATAGGTTGTGTGTGCTGAGATAGGGCTCTGACCAAGAGGTGGCCGAGAAAGTTATGATAGGTTACCTGCAGGTACTGAGCTGCTTGCTGTGACTTTCTGATCTTCAGCATCATCTCTGCCGAAGGGTGCATCACAATGTTCTTGCAGCACAGAACCAATATTTCACGCGTATCCTTGCTTTCTAAAGAGGGCTTCAGCTTGCTGACAGGAGGAAAAAAGGAGAAAGCAGTGAACTACTTCCTGCTCTGAAGGGAAGGAGACCCCAGGTCTCCCTTCTCTTCCCTGCAAGGGAACAGAAGCACCAGGGCATTTCTCCCTGCCCAGAATCTCAGCTTCTCTGGGCACAACAGCCCAGCTATCTCTCCTGTAGATGCAGCTTCTCACTCCCACCCCCTCCAGGCCTTTGGCAGCTATCCAAAATGGGGACCACTATCCTGCCTTGCAACCCCAGACCTTACCTCAACTGTTCCAGGGCCAGAACCACCTTGAAGGGCACTGGGGAGACAGGGATTCCTGAGTAGTACTTCTTCAGCAAGTCCTGCAAGTCCCAGAGAGACAGTGTCAAAGTGGGCAAGAAGCACACGAGAGCTGTTCTGTCCGGCCCAGAGACAGACACAACTGCCACACACCAGCCCCATCACTCCCACATTTTCCATGGTGGCACTGCAGGATGCAGCATCTCCACAGCTGGTGGACCTCGCCTGCTGCCCAGCTGCTGCCTGCCAGCACACAAGGTCCCCACAAGCTGGAGACGTGGCTGAAGGAGACCTTTATGCCTCCAGAGAAGTGAGCCCCGTGGCACAGCCCGGAACTCTACTGCAGACAGCCCTGTCTCTAGGCACTCACCATCAGGATCTCCAGAAGCTTGCCCTTGAAGGAAGGGTTAAAGCAGGCAGAGTCATCCACAGCTTGCAAGGCTGAGCTGAAGTTGGTGATGCTCTGCACCAGCGCAAGGTTGTTCTGCAAGTCCTGAGGCCCAAGAGAGAAGAACATTCTCTGAATTGCGGGAAGGGCCGAGGGCTGCAAGGGGGACACATGTGGGCAATGCTAAGGGAAAGCTTGGATCTTCATCTTGGCACAGATGGTCCCCCAAGGGACCTTTGAAAAGAGAAGGCCCATCTCAGCATCCCCCCATTTGGAGGGGCTGCATCGGGTGCTCAGACACCCTGGCACACTTCAAGTTCTCACCTGGCAGCTGCAGCTGTAGAGCATCAGGATGTTGCCCACGATGTCTCCCTCCAGGTGGACAAGCAGCTGTTCCTTGGAGGCACGCAGTGCCAAGCTGCCATGAGCGAGCATGAGAGCACTGCGTGTGGCATGAGCTCTCATGCTGTCCAGGTCCATCTGTGTGGGGAGAAATGCCTTGAGTCACTTGCTCCATGGCCCCCAGTGCCCCGCGATGCACCTGGGCTCCCAAGGCAGGAGCTGCTGTGAAAATAAGGCAGAAGAATGCCAAGATAGAAACCCGTAACACTTCACCTTCTTGCGCCTGGAAATCCTCGCATTCCAGCCTTTGCACAGCCTGGATGCAAACACGGTGAGTGTGTCCAGGACTGGGTGGAAGTTGCCCTCAGCAGCATGGCTGAGAAGAGAAATTATTCCCTGCACAAAAGAGCAGTTGGCGCAGGCCTGAACCTACTGGTGCGGCCAACCACGGTGACCGGGCCGGTCCTTGCCTGAGGGAAATGGCAGCAGTGAGGAGATCAAAAGGCCTGGAGCAGGGCCAGGAGAAGCCCTCTGCCCCAGGGATGGAGCAGGGATGCTCACAGAAGCTGAAGGAGAGGAGAGCTCACCTGGGCTTCCGATGGCTCCTACGCATTTGCTTCCTCCAAGTGCTGCAGCAGCTTCTCTTGGACATGGAGGACTCCCTTACAAGCTCCCAGTGCTGTCCCCAGAGCCTTGTACAGGAAAGCCTGATGGGAAGGGAAGGAAGAAGCCGAGATGTGGCAGCAGCCTGACCTGCTGGGAGAGGGCCAGGTGGGAAGGACCCACTTCCTAGGAGTCACTGAGAGCAGCTGCAGGGCCAAGCTTTAGCAGCCTCCGGGCAGACTGCAGGGAAAGGCCCTCTGGGGGGCACGGACCAGGGAAGCAGCATGAGCAGCCCACGTGGGCAGAGCACCAGCCACAGCTCCAGCCCCAGTAGGGCACCTGCAGCTGAACTGCTGGGTAGAGCCAGGGGGAACCCACCTTTTCTCCAGAGCTGCTGGGAGAACTGCTCAGCCACCGGCTCAGCTCGCAGCTCAGGGCCTCGATCCAGGCCTCATCACTGATGGTGTCCAGCGACGCCCTCAGGAACTGTTGGAGAACAGGAGAAGCCAAAGTTCCCTTGCCCTCTGCCTCTTCCCTTGCTCCCAAGTTGCTGCAGACTTCTGGGGAGAGTGTCTGCAAGAACAGTCTCTCTCCCAGCTGCCCCAGCATTCCCTCCATTAAAGCCGCCTGCCTCTCTTCTCCTAAGGCACCCCCCGGGCTTGGGACAGAGAGGAACAGGCAGCACCACAAAGGCGTACAGCTGCTCTGCTGCAGCATTTGAGAGGCTGTTCCTGTCCCGCAGTGGCTCATATGGGAGCAGGGCTCCTTGAGGCAGGCAAGCACTTCTCTGCACCGCGCCTCCCAGCACTGCTGTACCTTTAGCAGACGGCACTCCCACTCTGCAGGGTCCGGGAAGCTCTCATCTTTCCCTGCACAGCAATAGGAAGCAAAAGACTTTACTTGGGGTCAGGTCAGAAGAGCTGCTGCAAACTTGGCTTGGCCAGGGCACTCGACGCTGCCAAGCTGGGACCCACACTCCCTCCACAGTGTCCCTGTCCTCAAAAACTGTCCCCACAGGAATGCAGTACTAACTGCTCAGACTGCTGTCTGAGGGGACATGAAGGGCACATCCGTGTTCTGGAACAGGCAGATCCCTGGGGGGAAAGGTCCCTGGGCCTCAGCGCTGTCTCCCTGGAATGGGAACAGCAGCAGAGCAAGCACCGGGCTGCAGGAAACGCTTCCCCTCTGCCATGCTATAGAGCTGCATTTTCACTCCCCCCTCTTTCCCTGCCTTGGCCTCTCCCTCCCCACCAGCGCTTTTTACCTTGGAGACACTGCAACAGCAGGGGGATCTCAGCAGCCCACATGGCCCCCACAGCTCTGTGGAACCTCTTGTGGAGGTTTTGCATCAGCAGCAAGGCAGCGACTTGGAGTCTGCTGCCTGCAACAGGGTCCCAGACACCATCTCAGCGAGAGCAAGGAAAAGCAGGGTCACTTCTGCAGCAAGAGCAGAGGGAAGCAGCTTGGCTCTGCCCTGGCGGGCAAGGAGCAGCCAACAGCTTTGCCCATGGCCATGCTGCTTCCTCCGGGGGGGGGGGGCTCATGGCACTGGCCTCTGGAGCATCTACTCACCAACAGGCGTGCCAGCAGTGTCTGGGGAGTCAGCAGTGGGCCTGCAAGGAGAAAGAAGTGCTGAGTAAGACTCCAAGACACTCCATGCCCTGCCACAATCACCTCCTCTGTCCCTTCTGGGTGCTAACACAGATCAGCAGAGCTCAATGGGGGAGTTTCTGCTCCTACCTTGAAACATGGAGCTGACAAAATGAGGATCCAGATCTGCTATCTGCCGTCCTGTCAGGTCCTCTCTCTCAGCCAGGGCTTGAACACAACGGGAGACTGGAATAGCATGCCCTTGTACTGGGCTGGCACCACAAACAGCAACAGCTGAGGCCACAGGAGCTGTAGGGAATGAGGCAGTTGAGCATGACAGCATTCCTGCCTCTGCTCAAAGATGAAGAGGACTCAGTGAGTTTCCCTGAGTCCTGTGTGCTTCAGAGCACGTTGGAGGAGAGACCTGGGGTGTTGGAATGGGATGAGGAACACGTGATGCGAAGGCAAGGAGCATCAGGAGGGCCAAATGTGACTTACTTTGGACATCCCTCTCACAGAGACATCCAGTGACTCCAGGATGCCCATGCACAGCTCCTGGAGAGCTCCTTCTTCCTTGGCTTCCTGGGCAGAAAGGTCTCTGGCTGCCTGCACAACAGTGGTGTTGAAACACCGGTTACTCTCAGTTCTCAGGAGCCTCTCAGGAGGCTCACGTGTGGCCCCACCGGAGCTTCTCTGACAGCACGGGGTCTTCCAACAGAAGGTGCTGCCTACTGTCCTTACCCTTCTTCCCGTGGCGTGGCTGTACTCATTGAAGATGTGCCCCACCACATCCCAAGCTGAGCAGATCCTTGATGAAATACAGAACAGCCCTCCTCACCTGCAGGGGTCAATTGTGGGTGTGATTTTTCTGGTCAGAAGGCAAAGGGAAGCCACCTGCTCATCAGGGCAGCCCTTTGGGCATGAGCAGAGACAGCAAGAGCAGAGGTCCATGCACAGCACAGGGACCCGTCCTCTCCTCTCTGCCTGCTCTTCCCACAGGAGCCATAGTGACCATGTGGTCAATGCCCCAGCAACCTCCCTGGTCACCCCTGCCTTGCCCGTGTCAGTAGGAGCATCACCACCCCAAAAACACTTTCCTTTCCCAAAAGAGCTCACCCGGGTCCTGGAGTCATTGCACACACGCTGCACAGCCTCTGCAACCTGGGGCAGCATCTCCGTTATCACAGGCTCTGCAAGAGGTGCACAGAAACATGCATGGAGGCACAACCCAGATGGCAAAGGGATCCCTGGAAGTACCAACTCGTGGTACTTACCATCAGAGCAAACCAGAGCACTGAGCAGACCCAGGGCTGCCACACGTCCAGCCTCCCACTCATCGCCCAGCTGTGACTGCAGAAACAGGAGCGTTTCCTCTGGGCAGATTCGGGCTGCAGGAAGGAAATCCCACACTATGTTAGCGAGCAACTCATGTCCACTTGTGAGGTTTGAGAGAGAGGTTTTGGCCAGGGCTCTGGCAAGCATCGCCAAAGCTCCTCTCCTTACCCTGCAGCAGCATGCAGTGGGTCAGCTCTCTGCTATCAGCCTCGCTGTGCTGCTTGATGTCATCAGAGAGCTGTGGGAACAAGGTCCATTTGAGAAAATCACATCGGAACTAAGGATGGAAAAGACACTGTGCTGCCAGCTCTCATCTCCCTTGGTACTCTCGGGAAGAGGACACACACACAAAACCCAGTCTGCCCCAGAGCATCCCTAGGGGCACACGCATGGCTCTGGTGCAGCCTTGGGCAAGCAAGAGCTAAGGCTGAGCAGCCATCAGAGGCTCGGAGTTTTACAGTCCTCCTGAGATTTAGCAAGAGAGAAACAGCTGTAGGTGCAAGGATAGGCTCCCCTTACCTGGTAGAACACGGCAGTGGTGATGTCCAGAAACTTGTCCTTTGGGATGACAGACTCAACTCCCTCTAAGGCCTCCAGGAAGATAGTGAGGCTCTGCAAGAGACCAGGAGAGCCACATCTAGCCACCTTGGAGCGGAAAACTGTTTCCCAGTGGTTTGTCTGCTGGGAGAAGCTCCTGCACAGGTGTTCTTGTTTGTGCCCCCTCCCAGCAGCACCAAGAGAGTCTCTATGCTCTCAACTGAGCCATGCTTGGGCATTGTTTGCAGGCATTTCCCACCCAGCAGCCCTCTTCTCCCCCACCAGATGCAACTGGATGTGGTCCTCCCAGTTGTTAGCACAGAGCTCCTCAGGTACTCAGAGCCCCACGGTGGTGTTGGTGAAGCCTCCCATCCCCAGGAGATGAGCCCAGTGACTCTTGGCTCCCTCCTGGTTTCTGTCCACACGTTTCCTTCCTTACTGAAGAACTCAGAAAGCCTCAGACCTCACTTGAACACCTGTTCCTTCTTTCTCCAACTGCTCTCTGCCTCCTCCCGCATCCCTCTGACCCTCATGGCACTTGCATGGGCTCCACACTGAGCCCTGTGCAACATCTCACCTTGGCCATTATGGTGTCTTGGACCTCCTGACATGGGTGCACGAGCCAGAGGAGCTGCTCCCAGACGTGCTCTCGGTGCAGCTCTTGCAGGAGGACAGCCATCATGGCAGTCACAGCCTCGAGGACGGCCTGTTTGTCCTGGAGATGATGGCAGTGGCCCAGCATCAAAGAGTGAAGGTCTGCCCTTCCTACAGAGAGGGCTTTCTCTTTCCCTTCCCCTTCTCCTTCCCATTCCCCATAGCCCGATGTCCAGAAGGAGATGGGCAGGCAGGTTTTCCCCACACCCTCATTCCCAGCTGTCCCCGCCACAATAGTGTGACATGCAGCTGCTTCCTGGCAGGGAGATCCAGCCCTGAGCACAGAGCCAGCTCAGGGCCCTTTGCAGAGCCAGCCCACTCCTTCTCGTCACCCCTCTGCTCTCAGCCCACTGGGCACAGATAGAGCTGCTGACATGGATGCCTCTGACGGGCTGCAAGTACACCCTGCTGGCTCATGTCCATTGTACATGCACTGCAGTCAACATTCTAGGATGATATACAAAAATAACCTCATTTTTGCTATATTTAAACACTTCTTCACCTTCCTTTACGCTGTATTATTTAAAGATTTGCTCATATGAACAACTGCAGAGCTCACCTGGCGCCTAACTGCCCAGAGTCTTTGTGGTGAGGTGTAACATCAGTTAGAAAAAAAAAACATTTTGAAAGGGGACAGAATGGATCCTTCATTACAATGATTTCCTTCTGCTATGAGCATCCATAACAATTTTTACGGCTTACTAGTAGCAAATTGTATAATGTGAGGAGCACTGCCAAACCGTTCCACCCACCCCATAAGTTTGGTATTGCATTTGATACTTTGTATGCAGATGAACTGCAAGGAAGTCATTTCAGAAGAATGAAGGAATGACAGTTATGATCACACAGCAATTTGTTTTTCCTCTAATTCTCAAGAGAGTTGTTTTTGTTTTTTGGTTTTTGGATTTTGGTTTTTTTCCTTTTAAGTCTAATTTTATTCAACTTGACATTCGAAAGGACGGAGTAGAAATCTCTAATTGTGTACTAACAAAACTGATTTGGGCATAGAATTTATTTTAAGACCAGAAAAAGGTTGCAACTTTTTGCATTAGGAATATACCACGCTTCCATGAGGTACTGGACTCCCTTTTCTGCAGTATGTATAGCTTTGATTTATGATCTAGCAAATAGTTCTGTTTGTTATTTTCTTGACATACAATCTTCCACATATGCACAGCTGTCCACAGCACAATCACTATTCACATGAGAACAAGATCATTTTAGTAGTAGAAAACAAATGTAAAATTGTGAAATTCACCAGTATTTATCATTCTGTTTGCACAGTCTATGCTGAAGTGTTAACACTAACCAGAGATTCTGTTGCATGTCCAAGACACACTCCATCCAGCTTTGTGCCATATGAGACAGTCGGAGGCAACTGTTCTGTCTTTTCATTTCCTGTATCACAGCATTAGTTCCCTACCAAATGCATGAGTCTGCTGGAAATCAAGGAGACAGACATTGATCTGCAATAAAAATCACAAACTAGATCTATTTACCCTTGAAACAATTTCGAAGTGATTGATTGCTCAGATAACAGCACTGATAGCAGCGTTACTGCCTTAGCCAGCTTTTCATCAGAGGCGATTGCCCTGGATCAGGCGGCAAGTAGTAGGTTACTGTTCAACACATTTATTACTTCCCAGGTTTCTTCTTTTTACTTCCTGCATTACATTGTGGTTTGGATTTGTACTTGTAAGTCAAGCTGTAGCAGAAGGTCGTGACAGAATATACCAGGAAGCAGTAGAGCTCTAGAGCTGAGAGCTGACAGGGAGAGAGAAACAAGGAGAGCCATGAAGTTGTGCACTGAAAGAATAGGAAATGCTATAGGCAGTGGCTGATGGTCAGAAGCTGGGAACCCATTCAGAAGGGTGGGCAAGGGAATTGAGGCACACCTCTTTCAGGTGCGTGCAAGACCTGGCACAGGCAGGAGCTGCTGCTACTCTTCATCTCTTACAATTAGACAGTGATTGTCTGCAATATCCCTCATGGCAATACATGGACAAATTAAGCCTGGTGTAGGTCTTGGTCTAAATTATTTAATTATTCTTACGAAGTTGCATTACAAATGTTAAAAACACTAGCTATCACAGCAGTGCCAGCAACTCTGAAGGTATAAGCGTGACTGTATTGAGAAATAATGCCTAATGCAATCTGACAGTGAGCAATACTGTGTGATTACCTGATGAATGCCCGGCTGCTGCTCGGACTCAAGAGTGGTTACAAGATAACGTCATTGCATTGCCATCTGGCGACAAACAGTGGAATTATCAACAAGAACTTTAATGGAATACATCAAATGAAAATAAAGATTGAAAGCCTACCATAGAATTATCTCTCTGATCCCAGATGGACAGGATGACTTGGATTTTCTATTTTTAAACCAGGTAGGCAGGCCTCCTTTCTCTCTTCTCCTCAATACAAGCATATTTCAACAAGATAGATTTGTTGTGTTGACATGAAGAGAAAAATGTATGAATCACATTTCTAAAATAATCTGTGTAACATAACAGTCAGTAGCTACCTGCCGGCATACAGTTTATATGTATATATATTAATGAATGACAATCCAGTATTTCAGAATTATCTGAATCTGAAAATCAGTCTTACTCCTTAAAAGTCTCAGGAAAACAAGGACTGAAAAGATATGTAAATATCTTTGTCTGTAAAACGTATCTCAGACTGACATTTAGGCTGACAAAATTTTCTGATTTTCCAAAACTACTCACTATTTATAATCAGTGCATACAATGCAATAAATTTTTATTATTTTTCAGCATACAGCCTTTACCTGTTCCCTAGAACTTCTCACTAATAAAAGTGAGAAGTTAAAGCCTTAGGAAGCATTCCCCAAATACAGTCAGCCTTAAATTTCTCTCTAAGCAGTCATTGTCAGCACATCAGAGATTCCTAACAGGCTCTGGGATCAGTCAGTAGGAGCAATTTGTAGGTGAGGAAGAGGGCTGTGAATGCTGAAAGAAAACCACACCACACCCATGCTTTATTCAGGTGGTTTCTGTCAAAAGAACTTGAGGCAAACTCAAGCAGTTGCAATTTGCTGCAAATCTGGGCACTTGACCTGATCAAAATAACCTGCAGGCAACCAAGGCTTTCCCCTTTTTACTTCCTACTGTGTAAATCTGCACTCCTCTGGTCCCAAAGCCCATCTCTTAAGTCCTCCTCAATCACGTGACATGGGCAAACTTTAAACAGACTGACTCTTTAACCCTGATGTGAGCTGCTCCAAATCCCCAAACTCCCTTCTGTTCTTCATTATGTGTTTTGCACAGTATGGAAAGCACCCAGCACCAGTCTGCCTGTGGTTATGACCTCTGCAGAACAGCTGCCATCAGAATAATCACAAGCTATGGTGATGGAAACCTGCTACAGTGATCTCTGCAGTGGAATAATCGCTCAAAATTGCCATTGGTACCACACTTAGAAATACTAACTCCGTCACCCATTGGATATTTCAGTACTTGTGACAACATTTATGATGTAGGAAGAATTTGTCACTGGCATCATGTAAATAAAGGAAGGGCACTGGGCAGAAGATGAGGATTTTGCTACCAGCCACCGAGGATGAGCCTTGTAAATGCAGCACAGATTTTGATGCAGAGCTAACATGGCTCTTTTGCTCAATGATGCATTTAGATGAAGGGCATAGAGAAGTGTTGACTCACCCCCTCTGGAGCACAAGTAGGAGAGAGCTGTGGCATTGCACTGAGAGACTGTGAGAAATACTGTTTGGTCCAAAACATGATGAGGAGTATCATGGCAAATGCGTGAAACAGCGTGGCTGGAAATGGAGAAGGAAGGCTGGAGATGTTAGTGACAATTAATGCTCAAATGATAGCTAAGCATAAGACATAGCTGGTGATTACACTGTTGATGTTAATGTTGTTCCAAAAATAGATTATCGCAGTTTGTTACTGTGAAGATTTACAGGGAGAGTGTGCAATTCTTTTCAGGGCCTTCTCTCTTGCCCCAGTGATTTTGAATAAGATTTCACTGCATTAGCAGGCAAGAAGTATGATGGGCTTTGAAAGAGCTGTCTATGTTCTGTTTCTTTAATTAAAAGGATGGATTCCTAGTCTGCACAATATGTTGATGACAGAATCATAGAATGGCCTGAGGTGAAAAGGAAATCAAAGATCATCTAATTTCACTGCCCCTGCTATGTGCAGGGTCACCACCCACCAGACCAGGCTGCCCAGAGCCACATCCAGCGTGGCCTTGAATGCCTCCAGGGATGGGGCATCTACAACCTCTCTGGAACAACCTGTTCCAGTGCATCACCAACCTCTGAGTGAAAAACTTCCTCCTAATATCTATCCTAAACCTCCCATCTCAGTTTTAAACCATTCCCCCTTGTCCTATCACTGTCCACCCTCGTAAACAGCCGTTCCCCCTTCTGTTTATAAGCTCCCTTCAAGTACTGGAAGGCCACAATGAGGTCTCCCCAGAGCCCTCTCTTCTCCAAGCTAAACAAGCCCAGTTCCCTCAACCTTTCCTCACAGGAGAGGAGCTCCAGCCCTCTGATCATCTCAGTGCCCTCCTCTGGACACGCTCCAAGAGCTCCATATCTTACTTGAGCTAGGGTGCCCGTGGACGCAGTGCTGCAGATGGGGCCTCACAAATCTGAGTAGAGGGGCACAATCACCTCTCTCTCCCTGCTGGCCATCCCTTTTTTAATGCAGCCCAGAACACAGTTGACCTTCCGAGCTGCAAGCGCGCACTGTTGGCTCATGTCCATTTTCTCATCTACTAGAACTTGGGGTCCACAGAGCTGCTCTCCAGGAGATCTTGCCCCAGTTTGTATAAATACCTGGGATTGCCCTGACCCAAGTGCAGCACCCTGCACTTGGCCTTGTTGAACCTCATCAAGTTCACATGGGCCCACTTCTCCAGCCTGTCCGGGTCCCTCTGGGTGGCTTCCCTTCCTCCCAATGCACCGACTGCACCGCTCAGCTTGGTGTCATCCATAAACTTGCTGAGGGCGCACTCGATGCCATCGTCTGTGTCACTGATGAAGATGTTGAAGAGCACCGGTCCCAGGACCGACCCCTGAGGGACACCACTTGTGACCGGCCTCCACCCTGACACAGAACCATTGATCACAACCCTTTGGCTG